ATATATATATATATATATATATATATATATATATGAAAATCCTTCGACTACGAAAAAAACACACCAAAAAGAAGCAGAAAAATATTGAATGCATTGATTATGTTAATGATAATACACTTTCTTTTTTATTTGCAAAAAAAAAAGAAGTTACCTCATGACATTCTCATACTATGCTACGGAGAAAAGACATTCTCATTTCTCAGTAGTCATAATATTAGTAAAGAATACGAAGACACTTATAGTGATTGTACTTTTAGGAATAAATATATTGGTATGAAATTAAAAGCAATAGAATTACTAACCATAATGAGTGACAATGTGGTGCATAATGAAATTCAAGAGGTAAATAAATAAAAAATAATACTAATACATTCTTCAAGTAGGTCCTTCTTTTACCATTTAGCTGTGGCGATATTCGTGAGCATCAAGAATAAACAGGAAACTCAATTAGTTTCCGCAGTGATGGTTGTGGCATCCCAAGTATTTAGTATTGAAAAACTCACATTACATCACACAATGTTACCGGAATTCCGCTTAATCTACTTTATCCATATTATGAACACATAATAGTAAAAATTGTGGCCTTCACTCCTTATAAATCATTATGTTAGTACAGACTGCTTTTTTGATACCATTTTTCTACAAATATTCTTCCATAAATTAAACGATTACGTTGAGCCCTCTCTAAAATAAGGGGTTTCGTCATTTCTATCAGAACATGAATCAACAATTGCACCTGGTCATTGTTCATTAGCTCATCTTAAGCAGTAGAAATAAGAAACGACTGACTTTATTGGTCGATTTTGTTTCGTTGACATTTCAAGCTTCACAAATACAGGGGGAAAACCTTCACGAATAAATAGCACTGTGAAGACTATTGTATAAATTATACAAGAACCCTCTCACAAAATTAGCCGTATTCTTACATAGATGCCACATAATCAGGAAAAAGAAGTTTACATAAATGCATATGTGAATGACTGGTCGCAGCCATAGCAAGACAGTGAATTCCAGAGCAAATGATTTCAAAAGCTCAAAGTAGGTGTCATATATCTTGAAATCGACACCAGGTTTTAGTAGAAGCTCGGCCTGCATGGCTGAAAGCTTTCCGTCCGACATGAGGAATTCAATCGTATCGTTGTACCCCATCCAGAAGAGGGATCTATACTTTCTATCTGATGGGGGGAATAGAACCCACCACGAGGGCAAGAACCTCCTTGGATGGATAGTTGTCTCGTGAAAATATATCGTCGAAACAGATATAACATTCTGCTCGCACATGCGCGGTGTAAAGTTGCTAACGCCACCACCCATAACCCACTCGCCTGTTTTCCTCAGTTTAAAGGGCATTCCCGCGAGTGGAGCTAAGCAGTAGCTTGCAGTGAGTGCCTCCATAACATCCTCAAAAGTACTGAAGGAATTGATCAAGCGAGGCGACAACGACGGCAACACCGAGAGGACCACCTCAAAAGAGCCTTCCTCCAGGCGACGCCTTAGCTGAGGATTGTGGTCGATTTCCCGCAACTTGTCACCAAACTTAGCAATAGAGTCTTTCAGAAAACGATCTGCATGAGTCAAATGCCAAAGAGAGGAGCGATAGTAGGTAGCACAGCGCGCCAGATAGTTGAAAATTCCTTCAAAATCATCCTGACGAAAGGCTAAGCAAGCAGCGACAAGGGCCCCTGTACTGGCACCTATGAAACGAACGCGCTTACCTTCGCTTTCCCAACGCTTTAGCATACCAGATTTCAGAAGGGCATACGCAACGCCAAAGGAATACATTTCGAGCCATCCTCCCCAAGAAAAGGATATTGTAATATCCCACTGAGAATCCTTTTCTTGCGAATTCATTTCCGGCCTACAACCTAAATTAATCTTGTTACAAAAATAAAAAGTTTTGAATACTATTAAAAACTTAAGGATTTATTAAATCAATAAAAAAAGTAATTAACTATAGAGCGAAAATAATAAGGAAAAAAGGTGTGAAAAATAACAACAAAAAAACATTCACAACACAAACACAAATGAAGAGCCAAACACCTAAAGCGAAAAGAGTCATAATTTTAAAAAAAGCTATTGCATCACTTTAAGCCATAGTTATGATGATCTAATTAGAGAGCCTCCAAGGGAAAAGGAAAGGGGAGGCAGGGAGGAGACGCGCACGCACGGGCGCTTACTTCTTGGTTGGCCGGCCCTTGCGCTCCACAGCACGCGCGGCACGCTCCTTGCGCAGGCGCTCCTCGCGGCGGATGCGGTCCTTCTTGAGGGGGCCGAACCACTGGCTCTTCTCCTTCTTTGTCTGGAAGCGACCGTGGCCGATCTTGGAGCTCGTGTCGATGAACTTCAGTACGATCGACTCCTTCAGCACACGTGACGTCTGCGGCGCCATCGGACGGCGCAGCGTGATCACACGGCGGCGCGGGCCAGAGACAGAGCCCTTCAGCATCACGTAGTCGTTGCGCACCGTACCATACCCGACGAACCCACCCATCGGCGTGATCGTCTTCGCTGTGAGGTCGTACGCGGTCGTCGCCTGCTTCGGCTCCATCGCGACAGAGCGGCCGATCTGGTAGATCTTCTTGTTTAGCTGCGTGCGGTGGTGGTAACCCATCTGACCGGCGCGGGCCACCGTGTACATCACGCGGGCAGGGTGCCACGCGCCGATACACGCGACCTTGCGCAGGCCACGGTGCGTCTTCCGCGGCAGGCACGCCACGCCCCACCGCTTCACCACGCCCTCCGTCCCGTGGCCCTTCGTCACCGAGCACACGTCGCACGACTCCGACTGCCGGAACACCGAGTCAATACGCACCTCCTTCTCAAGCAGCGACTTCGCGAGCTCGATCTTCGCCGGGATGTCCCCACCATTGATCTGGATCTCCTGCACATGCGCCTTCTTCACGCCCACGCGGTGGTTGCGCAGCTTGCGCAGCTGCGTGTGCGCGATCACGCGGATCACCGTCGCCTTCCGCGCAAACGCAGCGTACGTCCGCGCCTCCGCGAGCTTGCCCTCCTTCGTGTTCACGAACTGCTTGTACCGCGTGAAGGCCAGCTGTGCGGACTGCTTCCAGTTCTTGTAGTACCGCCGGCGGAATTCCACGCTCGTGTGGTGGGCCCAGATCGTCCCGATCGTCTTCAGCCCAACCGGCGTCTGGCGGTACCCCACGATGCCGACGATCGCCATCGGCGGCGCCTCCAGGATCGTCACCGGCTCCACCACCTCCTTCTTGTTCACCTTCGACCCGGGGCGGTCCACGTCGCGCACGACGTGCGTCATGCCAGCCTTGAACACCATGAAGCTCGTCAAGTGCGGCTTCTGCGCCGGGTCGTCCTTCGGGAACGCACGCGCGCGGCCGCGGATCTGGCGCGAGCGCTTGCGCGGCAGGAAGCCGAGATGGCCGTGGCGTGGGTGCTCAAACTTGCAATGAGACATGTTCGATCACAATCGAGGGTATGGGAAACTTAATATGGCTTTAGCTTGCTGTAGGAGGGAAGAACGGGGAGAGAAAGAGAGAGAGAAGAGGAGTGTGAGCAGCAATGGTAGCAAACAGGGGTACAAAGGACGAGGAAACAGAAGGAAAGGAGGGGGATGCGGATGTAAGGAAAGTTCAAAATTCGAAAGCGATGGGAGACTCTCTCTCTCTCTCGATCTCTCGTTATTTTTCCATTTCCCTTCCTCCCCCTCTCCCTGCCTACATACATATACACACACACAGCGACTGTGAAGCTTGAGATGCTCCCTTTGTTTATAGTGGTCTTGTTGTTGTGAATCGAGTAATTGATACTATTGATATCTTACTGATTTAGTATATTAAAGAGTGAAAGATGTAATGTGTTTTCTGTGTAGTTCACATACTCTTTTGTTCCTTAGCATACAAATTTCAGGCAAAAAAAAACTCATCGATATTCGTGCCACTAATTTACCTTTTTTCCCGATACTTTTGGTCCTGTTGACTCTTTGGAGTTAGAGGGAAAACTAAAATTTCGGGCAATATTTGACTTTGTCATAAAGGGCCCCCTCAGCTTAGCCTCCTTAAAGAGCGTATGTCTTTGTAGAATTGGATCCCACATAATCTTTTGTAGCTTACGACCAGTCATATCTAGCCGTTCGCTTTCGGTTTTGATATGCCCCTCGATATGACCTGTGTTCGCTTCACTACGAAAGGCAATAGTGTTGTTTCTAATCTTGCGTGGTATGACTTTAGGAATGAACCCGACCATGCGTTTCTTCAACCGCGTTTTATACTGGCCACGACCAAGAAGAAGAAAAGTGTAGGAAAACATTATATTCTAGTTACTAATTATTTTCCCGCTTTTGGATTCAACAATGCAAAAAATGTTTGAACGAGAAAATAATGAATTTCCGTAGAAGTACAAAAAACATTAACATTCGACATTTAATTGTGAGTCAAAAACCAATACAAAAAATTATCTCTATTAGCTAATTAAGCCTAATAAAAAGTAAATCAGCACTCTTTTTAGACTCAACAGGCATCGATTCAATCTACCTTACAAATAATTATGCAAGATGCATGGTGAACAAAATGACACTTTATGAGAGACAAAAGAACCTCACTGAAAGTAAGGAAAGTGTTTATAGGCCACTGTAGCATGTCAAGCTTTTCCTTCGCTTACAAATTTCTTCAGCCTTTAAGCATATTAGAATTGAACATAACCCTTAGCAAGGTGACGTAAAATAGATTCGCACATTTCACTCACAGATGCACACGTTGCTTGGAATGCGTTTCGCCCCACTGTCAACCTTTCGCAATGCTGAAGCTAGAACTAAATGAATCCTTGGAAAAGTAAGCATAAAATAAATAAGAGCACATTTTCTTGCCTTGAACAAAACGAAGTTAGTTCCACACCCCCTTTCATCGAGAAGGTGATAGAATAAAAAATTATTCGCTGCCTCTTCACCGATTATTTTGATTAATCATCTTTAACTAGCTTATATAATAATAATAGCCATAAAACACAAGCAGAAGATAAAAAAGCACTACAAATGTGAAAATTTCATATGGTAATCGTTGTTTGGGTACATACGCCTATCCTCCATGGAGTGTAGAGATAAAGTCAACAGTATCGCCTTCCTCAAGAACATAGTCCATGCCACCCATTATCTCTGCATCACAGCCATCCACAAGAACCAAAATGCCTGGACGAACAGACATGCCAGTTGAGTTTACAAAAAGATCCGGTCTTTCAGACAAGCAGTTGCTTTTTAGGTATTGCACGAGTCCCGTCAATGTGGCCCCCTCTGGTATGCTGTCTTCGAGCACTAGCTCAGAACGATTATCAAACAAAAGCTCACACCCCCCACCAAGATTTATCTTCACTTGTTTTAAAAGAGTCATTTTAAAACAAAAACCTTAAATAATCAGTGCAAGCAACTCTTAAAGAGGTAAATAAAAGGGATAAAAACAATCATGGATTTAAACAACTAACAACCACTTAAATGCGAAACATATCGCTCAGGAAGTATTCCGTTACACCTGTTGTTATCGTCAAACTTTTGTGATGGGTTCGAATCACCTATTGGCTCTCACATTCAAATAAAATGAAGTTAAAACATAAAATATGAAAAATGAAGAATATTCACACTAATCTGGAACAATATGGAATGCCGCCAGAGTGTCGTTCTGAAGCTCCAGCTATGGTAAAGTGGTAAACCAAAAAGAATAGAGTATATAAATTTAATGCAATCAGAGGTAAGAAAACGAAACTGACACAAACAAATGAATCTCCCCCCCCCCTCCTCCCCGAAAAAGGTTATTTCCTTATTCTTTACGTTAATCTCTCAAATTAATTCAGCGTGAAACACTATATATATAAATATATAAAGAGAATTATTTACATAAAGTAACGCATTTTTTGCTCCAAATTACATAAAAATCGAATGAAAAAAAAATGCGCTCAGATAAACTTCAAAAAGGGGTGATCTCTTAGAAGGATAGAAGGAGAACCTACACAGAATTGAGGAAGGCCATGGTGTATCTATAAAATAGGTCGAGATGCAGACACCTAAAAAAAAGTGTAAATATATTAAAATACAGAAATTATAACTGTTTAATAATAATAGACCAACAACATTAGTGAGAAGACTTATCAAAGTTGCAGTTGGAATATGAAGTTGTCTAAATGTTACATTGTATCTTAGAAGTGTTCATCACCTCAAATAAATCTCCATCGCTATGACTAGATATCAAAGTAATTAGGTTAAGCAGTAATGCTCGTTCCAAATGAAGCTATGACTCGGGAGCAAAGAAAATCAAAGCTCGTCGTGACATCCACTTTCAGCCTGGCATTCTTCTCGATACTGCACCCTCCTATTTCTCTGCCTGCATCAAACTTTTGGTGGATTTACGAAGTAGAAAGCAATTTAAGGAATTTTATTGTTCGGCTATGCTTACTTTCCTGACTTGTACGTAAAGAGAGAGAGCTGAGTGGGTTTGCTCTCAGAAACCGAGCTCCCTTTGCTGTATGCGGCTCTGCACCTACTTTAGCAAGCATTATGGAGGCACACACACATACACACCCTTTGGGGTACAATTTCCCCTGGAGTATGTCGATTTCATCAAAGTAAATGTAGTCAGACTTATTGGAAGAAGAGAAACTTTGCTAGTCGTCCCAAAGCATCGACTTTTTGCAGTTTTTAGATCCCTTCAAAGCACATGGCTTCTGAGACAGGTTGCGCTCATCCGAGGGCGGGACTCAAGCCCAAGAAAAAATTGTTAGCAACCCTCTGAACATCCTTGAATATGTGTTGAAATGCCCTCCCCCCTTTGCGCAAGCGGAAGCACAATCAATTCCGCATCTACCGACTCATCGTTTAATTGTCTAATCATAGCTTGACGTATGTGAAGCGAAAGCATCTTTTGCCTTCCGTTGTCAATGTTCTTTTTCTTGTAAGAAACAAAATCATTTCCTAGTTTTATATGGAAAAGAAACAAATTAGTGAATTAATATGCGTAGGACATCTTCATCGGTCTCAATAAATATCAATACAGATGATAAAATGCAATAAAAAGAGAGAGATCAATTAGCAATATTTAGTGGTGCGTGTATTGATAATTTGAGAAGCAAATTTCTGAAATATAAATATTTAACTGTGCCATGGATAAACCTAACAGCACCTACAATGACTACTAATCACAGCGCCAATAAATCAATAGGAAATACAAGTACAAAAAGCTCAATAATATGCGGAAAAAATAGCTTTTTCTGTGGGATTTTCATAGGCTGCCAGTGTTTATTTGGCTTGCTTTTTGGAAAACCATACCTGAACTAAAGAGAACGAGAAATACAAAAAATATCAGCAATGAACTATATTGCGAATTTATAGAATAAATGTTATTGATTCTCTAAAACATCTGAGCTTCTCTTGGATAGATGGCTCCACCTCTCCCCTCCTGTTCATAGCTTATTTTTTTCCCGTCCTCCTCTCTCCTTTATCTCTAGGATAATGATGTGGCACCCTTTCCTGTATAACGTTGTTCAAAATGTTGCCGCGTTTGATGGGTTAACCCTCCCTCGCCGGCAGCTCACGCTGCCATTGTATAGCCACCCTCACCTTCGTTGAGAAGAACAACAATGTGAGAGCAGCCCGACAAGGTGAGGCGAGGAATGGTTCAGATACGCCGAAATCGGTTAATCCATCATAAAGGTCGCATTCTCCCCACGCTTGGGAGGCGGCCCAGACTTAATGGAATACAATCTTACACGATTGCTATCATGCACTAAAGATCGCGGCGGCCCGGACGGAGGGGTCTGTTCTAACAGCAAAATCAGCTCTGGAATGGGCAGTATACTCCTGACTCCGATCACCGTCGTGGGCGGAAGTGCACGACAGCCCTTTAACGTTATGCTATCCGGAAAGTCCTCATTTGCCAATGATTCAAGGATGGCGGTATACGGACCCGACTCAAGCTCTGCTAACTCCACACGACCGTGCGCCTTGTGCGCGATTAGAAAAAGCCGCTCCGCCAGTTCGATCTTCACTTGCCGTTTCAACCACATCCCAAGGCCTTCAAGGTTACGAAACATTGTGTGCGGCAGACGACTAGCTGGATTAAACGAGTGGAGATCGAGCAACCCGAGCAAAATAGCTTTACCGGTGATATTGAACGACCTGGTTGTGTACCGCGGCCTGCATGCAGATTGATTCTCTAGTATCTCATCCTCTCTTCCTGGGATCCCGCTAAGAGGTAGCATCGGGGTGAACACATTGCCTTCCACATACGACGCCTCAATCGTGTAGCTATGCAAAACACCCGCCTCCGTGTACAACGCGACGCGGCATGACGAATTCTTCGACGCCCCAGAGCGCGACGTCGCATTCATGTTCGACTCCGTAAAGTCACACTGCTTGAACTCGAGATAGGGTGAGTTGAGGGAGACAAGCTGTGAGTAGATAAAGGCCTGCAGCTGTGAGGCCGGGTCCATGACGTTGCCGTAAAAAAAGATCCCCCTCTGATTCGAATGGGCGTGCATATCTACGAACAGCGCCAGCTGATCTGGAACCTCACTCAAGGACCGAAGAAGGGCCCATAGACTGAAGGTGGCGGGATGCCGCTTGAAGGAAGGGTTGCGGTACGTGCGATTAAGATCAACGCCCGCGGCATCTGCCCGGCTGTGGCCACGCAGCACACCGTCCGGATTTAACATCGGCACTATGAAAAAGACAAAGTGCTGTCGAAGGGCCCGCGCACGGGGGTCTTTGGAGTTTAGGAGGAATTCAATGCAACCATGCATCATATGACTCGCCGGGCACTCTCCTGCGTGCACGCGGGCGGACAACACCACATATCGCTTCCCAGAAAAGTGAATCGGGCGCGTTGTGGTACCCCGTGCGGAGGAAAACGGAATGCCGTGCTCCTCCGAGAGCAGCGCCATTGGCGGGGCGTCGAGCCTGGCGCCTGTCATTTCGGAAATCGTCAGCAGGTCAACCCGTCGGCCCTCAAGCGTCTGACATAAAATCTCACGGTGGAAATAGATATCATGCGGTTGAAAGGCGTTGCCACCGCTCCGATTAGAGCATGGCCGCGCGTAATTCAGCACCGGAAACTCCTTCTCTACCGCCTTTGCATAGGCCACCGTCTTCGACGCTAGAAATCCCTCACCCGCCTGGGGACCTGAGCAGGCGTCGATGTCAGATAACCTCGGTTGAGGGGGACATTCCTGCGACGTGGAGATAACGCTCCGGTTGAGAATCTCAACCCGCCTCTGCCATGCGTAAATGTTCCGTTGTAAAGTCGTGTAGGAATAAGGGTGATTGCTCGCAATGTAAATTGCAGGGCAGTTAGGGTGCCCCAGGGGGTACGGCGACTTTAGTGGGATGTCTGCCTCAATAACAAACTCGAACTCCAGGGTCATGGCAATAAACTTTTTCGATCCCTTCTTGATAGACTTTTTGGTCGTTGCTATGTTGAGAACTGACGCATTCGACGGGAGTGGACCCGAGTTGGTAGCATCTTCGCACTTCTCACCTGGGAGTACACGATTGGGCATTTCAGATGGAGAGCAAGCTACACAGCTCACCCTCGGAGCACCTAAATCTTCAGCTGTTGGGACCATAATCAAGTCCGGTGTAACCTCCTCCCCATCGCTGTAGGCTGTTAATAAACCCTGGGAATCCAAGTTTTCCTCGGATGCCAGAACCAGGTGACGCATGGCTGGATCAAGATAAAGCATTAGCGGGTACCCCGGAGTCGGGGGCATATCCTTCAGAGAAGTCACCTTGGCATAACTATAGATACGCGAATACGTCGGCCGAGAAGGGAAGACCGCTATCACAGGTGCCCATTCGTAGGTGTACATTGCGCTGTGGGCGACACCGATCATAGTAATGCTCACATTGGCGCCTTTGATGCCACCACGGATCGAGAAATGAAACCACTGCCGTCCATTTGTCTGATACGTCGAGTTGCTGCAGTCCATAGCACTATACATGTTATACTGAAAAGGTCCTACACGCTCTACTTGGATGATATTACCACTGTCAAATTCGGACGATATCTCAATCTGGTCCTCCACTATGAAGAAGGTACGCTGACTGTTAGGTGGCGGGACAAAAGTCCAGTCACACTCAGAGCCATCCGTGTTGCTCTGTCCAGCACAAGGAGCTGTGCGAGAATTAGTGCTCGTGATATCTGGAGCATTGGGGGAACTCTTAGCAGGGATTTGTGGGCTCTTCTTGGAAACCTTTGGGCTGTTCAAGACAGATTTCCGTGGTTTTGAACGAGACCGTAACCTGGAACTTACAGTACCACCAGTTCGGAGAACTGTCTGACCGGAAGGATTGGTAGTACTAGCAGAACTACCCATAATAATAAATAAATATTAATGAAATGGGAAGTAAAAAGAACTAAATATGTATGTATGTATATATATATATATATATGCGCTGTACTCTTGACAATCAAAAGTAACAATATTTTAAAAAGCACAAAGTTGTAACACGGTAAAAATATTTATAAAATAATTACCTTTGATTCCACTTTCTCTTTTTAGATGAATAAATATTTAAAAAGGATTTATGAAAATAAACAAAGAAAAATTCTTGTAAACACACAAGGTAGGAAAAGGCAGAAACTACAAAATTCTCCATCATGAGCCATCCGTTTATATCCCTCAATCATTCTTTCTTCAACGGCATTACTAAAAATAAAAACTCTCGTTTCCACAGCCACTAACCCACACAAATGAGTTCCCTTTAAAATGAAACTAATTAACTTAATAAAGCGTATTATTGTGGTTTCTGAGGAGTGGATGGGTTTTGGTTAACAGTTTTTTTGTGGCAATGGTGGCCGGCACTTTCCAGGCCTCTTCCCACACGCTGCTTCATCAGAATTACCAACCCCACCTCCAACGCCATTTGTTGCCCTTCGACCCCGGCTTCGCTTCGTCGTCCTTATCCTTGCTGATGCCACCCACATTTCGAGAATGGGAAGAATCGACCGCGTCGGGTTTCCTCGCGGGCAACTCCAAGTCCTCGTCATCGCGTGGAAAGTCCAAATAGGTGGAAGCGATATCCACAAAGACTGGCTTGCAGGCTACTGCCTGGTAATCCGGTGGGAATTGCACCACATTCTTCGCCACAACAATCTCGTTGTTGGGGATCTCCGTCAGGTATTCTGCCGAAACGTGCGGCCCATTTGCGCCTTTGAGCTGCGTTTGAGTGTCCGCCGCGGCGGTGGTCGAGGAGGATTGATACTCCCCAAGAATACGGTCCACCTTCATCTCCAAATCGATTCGTTCAGCCAACTCGCGGAGCTTCTTCGCGTGTGGGGTGCTGGCCTGAGCTAAAAGCTCCACCACCTCATGATAACAAGTCGCCGCGTTAGCCTCGGAGCCGGTCACGCGAAAAGCCTCGCCCATGTAAAGCAGCTTTCCCGCCCGACACACTGCGGCCATCTCCTCCACGTCCTCCCGCCCGGACGCGCCGGGAAGAATCTCCATCTGCTCCACCGCGTCCATCGCCGTCTCGTAGAGCCGCACCACCTCCAGCGGGGAGGCGTACTGTGCGGGGGTGATCCCGCCCTTGTGGGTCCGCGCCAGGCGATGGGCCTTTCCCCCGGCCCCCGCCTTCCCCTCGCTGGGGGCGACGGAGGCCGACGCCAGGGCGCGCTCCGTCGCGCGGAAGCACCGCCCCCGCACCTCCGCCAGGAAGAGCGCCCGCTGCATCGAGCACTGCGCGACCTCGTAAAGGAGGTAGTGCACGACGAGCTGGAGCTCCGTCCGGGCGCGGCTGTCCTCCGGCGCCGCGCGGTGGTCCTGTCGGGCGTGGCCGAGCGCGTCGTCGAGCCCCCCTACACGGCGGTCCATCAACTCCAGCAGGCGACGCACCTGCCCAACCGGGATGACCCCCCCTTCGCCTGCCCCGTCCAAGACCTTCTCCTGCATCTCCTCGAGAGGGACGCGGCGGGCCTCGCGGAGGGCGTCGCGGACTTTCGGGTTCGTCAC